GGGGAGGGCATTGGGGGCTTCGCTGTTTGTCAAGACCCTCTTTCAGGAAAATGGTCATTGTTTATGAGGCCTCAGCAAGAAACTCAAACTTCTAAAAAGCCAGCTCTCATTCTGGGTCTTGTTCTCAGTTTTACCACCTGGTAATCCCTTTGCAGGATCAGAGGAAATCAGTTACTTTCTCCAACCCCCAGCGTTTCTGTTTTACTCTTGCTAGCCATGCAGCCAAAGTGAGTCTTTATCAACATTTTTTGGTAGAAAAAAAAAATCCCAAAATTTCAGTAAGGATTTTGGATAAAGACGGGGGCAGTTCTGTGCTCGGTTATAATATTGTTTCAAATGCACTTTTTGGCAAGTATTTGCCATACCTCTCATGATATCATAGTGATAATAGGTTTATAGGTTTTAGAATCCCAGAATTTGCTTCTTGGGTATCTTACTGGAATATCTGGGATACAAACACTTTAGATCTCTTGATGGAGGATGTGAGGGAAGTGGAAACCCTGCCTTTTCTTTACTCATTTTCAATACACAAAGATAGTTCAGCAGCTGATTCCCTGGCCTTTGTTCCACCTTTCCGATAGTTGACATCCTGCCCAATCTTATAGACCAGTCTAATACACACTGATTGTTTGAGTGCAGTTACTGTAATGACGCATCTCCCTGATTCACCGTCGACGTCAGTGGGGGCTCTTGCCAGCCGTGTCTCATGATTTTAAGGAAGGGAGACCAGGTGGCCAGTGAGCGTATTGCTCAGTTTAGCAGCCAAGAGTTTCTCACTTAGTAGCCCTATCTGTAACCTCCAGCACACCCTCAAAGCCTCCTCATTTGTCCTTGAAATCAGACACGATCAGCACTAACTCCTAGGGAGGGTGCCAGGCAGTGCATGTAAAATGCCCAGCATGATGCTTGGGAGCATGGCCACAGTCATCATCATGGTCACAAATGTGAGGCAGGTTGTTAATAAAGTTGAGAAATCTTCCTGGACACCATGCGCGTTTTTTCTTTCTCTGTGCTGTTGGCAGATCCTTAGAATGGACCTTCTGGGTAGCTCCCTGAGCCAAGCTGGGGTCCTGCAGTTGTCTTCCTGTGGCCGTGGTTGTCACATGATGCCCTGGTATGCCCTTTCTACCTCTTGGTGGAGGACAAGGAGGGAGGCACTGACCCGGCTCTCCAGCCCCATGGCTGCTCCATACTGCCTGTGACTGTGTAGGTGCTTTGCAGAGACCACCCCCACCCCACGAGCAGCCATTGTTCTTCCTCCCCCGTCTCCTCTTCAGCAAAGGAAGCCTGGTATGGTTGGGGAAAGGGGTGAAAGTGCATTCCATTACTCTGCACCCTCATCAGAAACTTTCTGTCAGGAAGAGAGAGGCACAGAGACATTCCACAGAAGGTGCTGCTTTTACTCCTCCTTTCTAGAAGGTACATTATCTCCTCTGTCCTCGAGGGCCCTTCTGTCTCTGGGGGTGATCGTCTTACCCACAGACCCGTGAATCTCAAGGTGACTTGGACACAAGATGCACAGCCACTGCTGCCCCATCCACCGGTCACTGTACCCTGAAAACCCAGGATTCCCTGAGCCTCCAGCTACAAGGACCTGTGCCAGGCTGGAAATGATACCAGAGACCTGGATCTGAAGTTGGAACATGGTCCTGAACCTCTGGGCAGTTCGTCCAGTTCAGGTGGTCTTCTGATCTCCTGGAGACAGTCATAGAGCATCCCTCCCTGTGACAGCCGTGTGTCAGGTGATCTGCAGTGGGCTGAGAGCTATTTGGCTGCCTTCGCTCTGTGCAAGCAAACCGAAAATGGCTGAAGTCCCTGACCCGTTGGTGTCGAGCAGCCCCGGCCGCTGACCAGTCTGCCTGTGCAGGGAGTGAAACGCAGAGGCCCAGCCAGTTCCCGGGGCTGAGTGGTGTCCTGTGAGTTACTGACGACAGAAGAACAGAAATTCCTGTTGAGACCTGTGGCCACCTGCTGGACCCAAGTGAGCACCTGGACAGCACCAGCAGGTGGAGCCTCTGGGGAGATGGGGGTGCTGTGGCTGCCGCGTCGAAGCTCCTCGCCATCTGAGCTGCACCTGGACAGGGAGATCTGCCACACCACTGCTGTGCTTCCGGAGAGCTGGCCTGAGGTGGGGCATGGGGGAAGATGGATGTTAAGAATGCCTTGGAGGTGGAGAGGAACAGTAGGACATGGCTACACACTCAGAGCCTCAGCTGCACCGAAGGTGAGGCCAGCCTGCCTGGGAGACTGAGGGCTCAGGAGGAGCGACTCGGGGGTCCACAAGCCTGTGGTCCCCATCACCACAGCCACAAACCAGAGGAGCTTTTGGCCTTTGCCCAGTAGAAGGACTGTCAGTCACACATGTCTTCTCCCCCGTCCTGTGTTCCTCATGGGAACTCCCATCAGCACACGGCTGATTACCACGGGGGTGGCCAGGACACCATAGACCAAGGTCTGCAAGTCCGACTTTCTCAAGTCAACTCATGGCTCCTTAATGAAGGAAACGGGATTCTCCTAGGGCCAGTCTCCTGTTTATACTCAAGGAAATGATTTTGTGCTTTCAAAGCTTGGCCCATTTTCCCCCCACATAGCCTTCTAGGGAGGGTGGTCCTCAGATGGCCACAGTAGGCTGCATGATCCATAGACACCTCAAGAAAAAGGATTTGGGAATAGGCCCAAAATGCTGCTCTGTGAACAGCAGTCCTGGGACAGCACAGCACAATTTCAGATCCCATATAAAAAAATATATATATATTCTCTAGGAACAACGCAGCTAACTGTGAACCAACCCCTACTCACAACTGGGCCAGTACGTTTAGAGTACCGAGAGGGGCTTTCATTGAAAAAGAGTTACTACATTTGTCCCGATAATTTACCTTCTAGGAATCAGTCCTAAAGAAATACGTAGACATTCAGGTAAGGATTTACTGAATTTCTGTAGAAGACATGCAGTGCCTTCAAAGGGAGGTGGGGGAGCCCATTTAAGTGCATACAGCCTTTTAAAGAATATTGAGTGGCGTGAGAAAAGGCATGTGGTGTAAAGTAGAAAAGGCACAGTGTGGCATTATACATGCTGGATAAGGAATTTCCTATTCTGCTCAGTATGTCAGAAGGCAGAGAGGAAAGACGGGAGGAAATATAGCAGAATATTAACAGTACTTATCTCTGGGAGATCGGATTTCAAATGTTTCTACTTTTTTCCCACAACAAGCATATACTAATTTTATAATCAACAATATTTAGGAAAAGCAATAGTAAATTTGTTAAACATCTTCCAAGGTAGACATTGTGTCTAGGTGCGTTTGAACCCAGCCACACAGTAGTAAGGTAGGTGTCTCTGTTCCAGTGTGCCCAGTTAGTAGAAACGAGATTTCAGAAACCAAAATAGTTAAATACGCGCCAGTTGTTAAAACTCACGCACACGTGTGTGTAGGTAACACTGGCATAGCCATCATGGAAAGCCCAGGCATGTGTGTGTGATGTGACCCACATGGCTGCTCTTCTCCAAGGGCTGACATCCCAAGTGTGGAAGTGAGACAGCAGCTGCTGGTCCCAGGCAGGACTCTGGAGCAGGTGGAGGGAGGCATGCCACTCTCGGGGACCTTTCAGTGACAGCCAGGCAGGAGCCATGGCACGCAGACGGAAGCTGGCATTTCACAACATCGGTTTTAGGGTGATCCTGTATGCCAGAAAAAAGAATTTTTTTTACTAAATAGTAACTTCCCTACAAGTTGTACCATCCTTTCCCAATGTTGGGGCACAGTTGAATGCAGTGCTGCCTGTGGTCAGGCCCCTTCCCTCGCTGGGAGATCCAGGCTTTGCCCCTGCTGTCCCTCAGCAGTCCCAGGAGAAGCGTGATTGTGAAGAGGCGACCCTATTGAGCCTTTTTAAAAAAATATATATATATATATATACACCAACTGACACCTTTGATCAGCTGTGTGCAGAAGGGTTTCCATGAGCTGCGTCTAAGAGACTTTGCCCTTAGAGATCGAGCAGAGGCTTTGGGGCCTGCCTGGCATTTATATTTATGGAAGGCAGCACAGTCCCTCGGCCTTCCCTGAGCATGGCTACTCTGTATGGTTATTTCACTGTGGCCATTTGCAAGTATCTTAAAGCATTTTAATCAGTGATCAATCAAATTTAGTCTCAGGCAAGAGAACTCTTTATTTGCGGTGGTTGAACTTACTATTAGAAATACTTGGCCGGGCGTGGTGGCTCAAGCCTGTAATCCCAGCACTTTGGGAGGCCGAGGCGGGTGGATAACGAGGTCAAGAGATCGAGACCATCCTGGTCAACACGGTGAAACCCCGTCTCTACTAAAAATACAAAAAATTAGCTGGGCATGGTGGTGCATGCCTGTAGTCCCAGCTACTCA